GCAGTCCTGGATCCTGAAAGAACATTTTTAGGATAATACTCCACAACTGAGTAAAAACCAAAATTTCCGTGCAAAATATCAGGCTACGTTTTTGTACACCACAGTTAGGGCGGTGCAGAGATATAAAAGGTTCTCTCTAAACGTTCTCGTCTGTGGACCAGAGTTCAGACGTTCTCTGTTCCCTGTAGGCCGAAATACTTGTTTCCCTCATTGGACGCTGTACGAAGACAACACCTGTGCAACTGTTTACCAGACTCTTTGTACCCGACAGTAATTAGCATCGGTAATTAATAGGTCAAGCGTGGTCAATAACAGGGCCTAGCTGACTAGCTGAGCTAAATGGTATGCGGTCATTAGTAAATTACACCAGTCCTTTTCCTGCTATCACATGTCACTGTGTTTATTATTACTCTTGTATTGTAAATCTTTTAATCCTGGAGGTGGAAAACATATCCAGGGCTCAGACGAGCTATTTTTATGAGGATTATGTCACCTTCATATAAAGTGTAGAGGAAGAGCTGGCAGAAAGGGAGACATCCTTGGTATTTGTGTCTATAAAAGACGCAGCGTGATAATAGGAGAAGAAGAAGAAGAGGCTTCTCTGTCGGTCGCTGCATTCAGGAACAGAGTTAAGTTTAGACCTGGAACATGAACTAAACTTGGACAGGGGCCATGGTGACATAGGTCGGAGTCTGAATGAACTACAGCACTGATATTAATAAGAACGTTAAATGAGTCATACACAACGATGACATCAGTGTGAGAACCCATGTCCTTCTGTAAGGATGTGGTGAGTTGGTCCAGGGTACTGACAGAGACAGGATAGGTATTATATTTTACTCCTGTTTTTGCACAGACTCATGTACTGACCAAGTGTCAACCCTCTTTATATCGTTCTTCCAGTCCTTAGAAAACCTCATATTTGTTATCCAGAAAAAACCTCCTCCCGTCTCCACTGTCCAATAAAACAAGTCATGTTTTTTTTCTCGTTTCCAATAATTGTGTAGAGTGTGTACTGTATGTTGTATGTTGTACTCTCCTAAATAAGGAGTTTGGTGACTTGCGAATGGAGATGCTTATCATCAGCGTAGAGAACACGTTGAGCCTGGATGTTATTTATCTGCTCACCGACACACAGTGTTGAAGCTGCACTGAATCAACCTTGTGCGTATTTCACACCACACCAGTCTGATCTTTGGACGCATGCCTTTTCTGAAAGAACTGTTAGACGAAGAGGAAGGAGAAGAAGCACGAGCCCGGACACCTGCTCTGCCTCAGCCACGTCCACACCCACCAATGATCCCAGAGCGCCAGGAGTCTCTGCACACACATCAACTACATCACATGCATTTCCTTCCAAAGTGCGTTTGTGATTAGACGGCTGTGATTATGCAGAGTGTCGGGGGAACGCTCGTAGTTGTGTGCATCAATAACACTTTTGGACAAACGGAGTGTGAAGCACGCACACCCAAAAACACTCACACAGGTGTTGGACCAGGAACAGTCCCAGCTGAGGCATGAGTCCAAAAAAAACATCCAAACAGTTTAGGAACAGCTCGCAGCGATCGACGTTGAGCAACATCTTCTTCTTCATCCAGAGATGTTAGTCAAGCTCTGCTGAATCAGATCAGACAGCACACACTCACTGAGTGACTGCGAATGTTAAGGAAATATTTCAACCATTTATCTTTTTGGGATCTCTGTCAGTTTGAAAGGCGGTGATTCCAGACTTGTTAGATTCAGTCCCTCAAAGTCTTTAAGTGTTGTTGGATTTGAATCCAGAGCAAGTTTTAATAACACAAAAACAAGGGAATGACGGGGAAAAAAAATCTTTTAGAACCTCATAAATCATTAAATCACCTTGTTCCAGACCATCTAGGAACATCTCAGTTTTTTGTTGCTCAAACTTGACAAGTCCTAATAGATATTTCACTGATATACTTTATACTTAATTGTACATATCTTCAGGTTGTTGTCGTGTGTGCGTCTGTGTTTGGAGGATTACGGCCAGTTTTTACCAACAGTCGGCCTTTGTACTGATGAAGCTGCTGCAGTTGCCTGTAGATATTGGAAGTCATCAACACGAACGTCTCATCGCCGCCTCTTACCTCCTCTGCAATCTCTCTGTCACATCTGTATCTGGAAGACCGACAACTAAGGAGCAGCATCAGATCAGAATCAGACTTTTTGATTCCACATCTACGGAATTTGACTCTTGTTTTTCACTTCTCCGAGTGTTCACATGTAAAACAGAGGATGTAGGTGGACATTTAAAATGATGCAGATTTGTGATGTCACAGTCACATTGTTCAGTTTCATCTAAAGACACAGATACTTCCAGATAAAAAATTGCAAACATCCCACTGGTTTCGTAAGTCAATTAGTTTGAATTTCGAAATAGGGCTCAAGTATTTTCTCAACCACAAGTCGGGCTTCTTTTGAGTAGTTTGGCCAGTCAAGTGACTTATCAACTGACTTATCACTGTCGACACTTGATGATGATATTTTTGGTCATTCGGTTAATTTTTTATTCTGAAGACGATGCTACTTTTAAAAAGTAAGATTTAGATTTGGAGGAAAACAGATGATGACTTGTGACAGGTGATGCAACCTCCAAACACAAACCACCTGGCCGAGCTGGAAAATTGTGTTCTTGTGAAAGTGATTTTAAAACCACTGTAGAAATTGAGACGCCAAGAAAAGTGATGTTTGTTTGTTACCCTCAGAAGCAGAGGTTTTTCAAGGCTTTTTTTTCTGTAACTTTGTGTTATGGCCATGGTTTGGAACCAGCCACCTCTGTCCGTTTCTTACACAGCCTATGATATAAACCCTACCTGGCATCTGACAGCAGACATAGATACTCTCGACAGTCTCTTCAAAAACAGTTTATAGTTGTTGTGTTAGGCTGTACGCACAACAATTTAAGTCGGACTGGGCTCCACTTCACTTCCTCCCTGTGTTTAAACAGACTGCGCTGTTTTAAACAGTGGTGGCGGCCAGGCTTGACATTAGCGTGTCATTGAAGGCTATCAATTCCACTGACACTCAGTGTTGTGTAACCGGATCCTCTCCTGTCCTTGTGGCCCAGTGTCAGTCCAGATCGGCTTCACCGAGGCCAGTGGACGTAGACTGGACCAGCAGGTCTCTCGTCTCTCTCCTGGTTCCAGTACCTCTCTTACTGGACCTTTGGCTCTGATTTACAGAGGAGGAGAAGCTTCCACTTACTGTGTGAAAACCTGGTTCTGATCTCTGTTATTATCAGGCACAGAGTGAGCCTGAAAGCTTCTCTTTATCTTTATCATCCAGTAACAAAGGGGCCTATAAAGAATATGGACTGGATCCCAGATCCTTTCCAGGATGTTGCCAGACTGACTGGGTCTTTACTGGGTCTGGTCTAGGCCACGTTCATAGATCGTCAGTCAACATTCTCAAAGGTCCTGGATTTTAGTTGTTTTTGACTTCAGTGTAGTCCAGGATGTGTTGAAAATGTCTGAGCCCTGACAGAATCTCTGTCTGATGTGTGATCTGCCTTTTGTTTTTGTTTGTTTTTTTATTTGCTGATCACGTTTTTCTGGGAACAGGGTTTAGGTCCAAAATTCAAATTGTTTTTGTAACATTGAGATAAAGTTCAAATTTGTCTATTGCAGTAATTGTTTTGTCCACCAGAGATCGTTATGACCACAGCTTAACCTTAAAGTGCGTTATTGTCCTTTTCTAGAAGACAGTGACAGTATGTTGTTCGACTGTTAGCAAGCAAAGGTAGACGAACAACAGAACAGAGGCTCTCCAAAGCATTTTGGGTTTGGTGTGTATGTGTGTGTATGTGTGTGTATATGTGTGTGTGTATGAGAGTGAGTGAGTGTCTGAGGCTCAACCATAGCTTTGAATTTAACACTGTGTGTCTCTGCGTGTGACCAGGTGACATGTCCAAGGTGTCCCCCTGTCTTTGCCCTGATGTAAACTGTGTTTGGCTTCACTGCTGTACGGCATCTGAATCAGCTGAGGTGGACGTAAACCAGCCCAGCCCAGTCTGCCAGCTCCCATGAGTGTCTGACATCTGATCCGTCTGCAGGTTCTTCAGTGTTGGTCCAACTCCTGTCAGCAATACTTTACCCAAAAACACCACTTCTGTCCTAAACTAAACAGGACGTTTCCTGTGAAACTGTGTTGTGTGTTTCACATCAATGTGCTGCAGTTGGAACTTCCTGACTCTGCTGCTGCTGCTGCCGACTTTTTCTGGATGTTAGGCTTTGTTCATCCCACCGTCAGATCTGAATCACTTTTTTGAAATGGGTTTTTATGACAGTCTAATGTAGCATGTTAATTGCTTTAATTAATTGTTGAGTCAGACTAAATATTTGCAATTCAACACACAGGAACTGAACGGTGAATAATCATGATGGCCCACAGCTACTGCGATTAATCTACTGTTCACTGACATATGAACCTACGCACATCTGATGAGACTCGATGTAATGAACTGGTGTCAGATCAAACCATTGTCATGGGGTCTACATTAGAGGCCCACTGGTCATGGTGTCACATGGTACATCATAAAATTTCTGGATATTCTCACAAAGTTGTCAATGACCTGAACTAACATAATCAGCTGTTCCTGGGGGCCCTTCACAGCTCAGGGCCCCCAGCAGTTGCTCGTATTACCAACCCTGTTACAGTTCTCCTTTGACCCTCTCCTCTGATGCCGTGGCCTTCTTTAAGATAAATACATATTGCTTTGAAGACCAAATAGGAAAATGAGGGATGAGTGTCAGCCAGCAGTCGGTTTTTGTTACGCTGTGATGAACAGAGGATAAATCATCAGCGAAAACTCCCATTTGACAAATGCTGAACAAAAGAAAATGAACCTGCTGATTAAAGTCAAAGAAACATGGGAATTCCTTTTTCCCTCTGGAGGAAACCTTCTGTCAAAAATGATTAGAATCCTGAACCAGCGGTAATTTCCCTTATTATTCCTGTCATTATATTGTCGTCTTTTTCAGATGGAAAAACCTGGTGGAGGCCTGAGGCGTCGACAACCAGGTATCACCTGAAGAATTGGAAGGTGAGCACTCTCACTTGGTACTGTTTGTTCTCAACTCTGTGACGCATCAGGGTTGACTGTTCAAAACATCAGACTGGTAGGTCCTCAGTCCACTGTACTGTAGACTATAGAATTCACTGGAGGGATATTAACATTTTTAGGTCACACCTGGTCTGGGCTCACTAGCTACATGAAGGGAAATAGTTTATCTAAAACTGTTTTTTGCCATTTAACATGTCTCTGAATTGAATTCTGTTGTGTTTAGCCAGGATGCTGCCCTTTGTCTGCTTTTCCCCCTTTTTTTAACTTGCCAAAGTAATTGAGATGGTTTCATTTCAAAGATGCCATTAGAAGTTGACATCTCTTTGTTAGCGGTAATGCTAAATGCAAAGAGCTGAAGTGGAGATTTTGTATTGTTAGCTTGTCTTAGCTTAGCTGACTAAAATGACTGTTTTATCAAATTCAACTTCATAAAACTAAAAGCCTCACCAGTGTCAGCCTCTAGGGTCCGGACTGAAAATGACATTAAATTACACTCTTAAAATGAATTGATAAAATGCCACACAAATGTCCCAGAAACATTTGCTTTAAATACTTAAAAACGGAAAAGGCTTTAAAAGATGAAAATATTTTTCTCTGTTTTAAGACAAAGACAACTGACAAACTGCCTTTGCCCTCCACCAATAAGAGGATGCCTCTGACTCAGGAGGGGAAAACTAGGCCAGTCCGATTTTTTTCTGGCAGACTGTTGCCATATACGTTTCACCCCCAGCCAGTTTCCACTACGCTGCCCATTCGATCTGGGACAGACACCGCAGAGAAACTCATTTCATAAGTGATGCTAAAATATTAACCTTGGCTGCACGGTGGGAAAAGTGTCAGGTGTCAAATAAGTAATTAAAGAGGTGCAGGTGTCACCTGCAGCCCCAGCAGGGGGCCTCAGCTGAGGAACCTTCAAAGATCTGATGGAGGGATCACTTTACTCACACAGGCCTTCAGTTTCCAAATGTATGTAACACTGTATATCACCAAACGAAACGCAAAGCCTAAAATCCTGATGCTGTGGCTCCAGACAGTAGTCCGGTCTGATGTCAGTCCTGTTGGTAAAATACAAACACTTTATTTGAAATTTAAATAAATACAAAACGTAAATGCTAGGGATGTGTACTGACAAGAACCTGCCGATACAATACGTTTCACGATACAGGGCAATACTACAGGCTCGGCCATATATTGAGTTTTTTTTTTTTTATTAAATTCTGTAAGTATGAAAACTGTCATCATAGAAAACACACAACGCTGTCACGTACTTAATATTTGTGTGTGTGTGTGTGTCTTTGTTCTGTCAGGTGATGCTGTGGCTGATGGCCACGTTGCTGTCTCTGGTGGATGATGTGTTTTCAGATGAAGACATCACAGACGCTCATTCCGACGTCCAGCACGTCCTCAGGCAGCCGTCCTTGTCTTCTGCTGAGGGTCAGGCGGTGGACAGTGATGTCCACCTACCGTGGCCTGATACCTTTGGTGAGTCCAGTAATATTTATCTCTAATCTGTAAAGTTTTCAAAGATACTCAGAGAAACAAGGATGTAAAGAATGACAAACTCTGGTGAGTCCTGTCAGACAGCTGTAGCTTAAAGGTCAAAAGGTCAACTGTTCTCTGAAGACTTTATGTCCGCTGATATGAATCCTGATCTGATTCACTTTGTTCTGATGCTGTCAGTCCCAAAAACGTCAGTTCTGTTTCCAAACATCATCATAGCATGTCTCACTTCCATCCTTCAGATCTGTTCCTTATCCCTCTGCCTTAAACTGGACCTTTTTTCTCACACCCTACAATAATAATACAGAAACTTCTGACTGGAACTTGTAAAGAAAGACTTTTGATTTTCAGCAGCTTGGTGAACCATATAAGGTTTAATCTCATTACCAGGGGCTGTTGATTTGAGGGTCAAAGGTCAGGGATGTCACTGCCAGGACTCACAAACTTCCCGTTTCCATCTATCTTGGTTACATTACTCTAAGACTGAAAACATAAATCTGAGTCAGGGGCCATAACACATCAGTCATGTTCCTCCTGGGTGACTGATGTGGTGTCTGGAAATTTGCCTGTTAGTTTTCAACACTGAGGTTGGCCTTGGTCAACAAGGAGGAGGGCCCCCGGCCGGTGCTGTACAGGGTAAGAATAATCAATCTGGGGTGCAGGTTCCTGCCATTCATCACAGTCCTGTTCACTGCTGTGGACTGTGAGCCTGGTTGTTCTACCACTTTGGTATGTGGCCAAACTACACTGGTCTCCATGATGATGAATGACTTATGCTAATAATAAAACTCACTGTAATAAGTGACTGGAAGTTGAAACTAAAATATAGTAACATTTTCCAGTTGTTCATAGTCTTTTTTTCTAGTCTAATTTTCTTTTTCTTTTTTTTTTTTTGTGGACCTAGTATATAGAAGTACTGCATAAATCACAGTAAATTACCTGTATCTACTGTGTGACGTGTCAGCAGTGAACGGACTCACGACACAAACACCTGCTGTTGACGTCAGGTCAACTGTGGTTCTGCTCCAGTGCTGGATACTGCTTCATGGTTCATTTCAAAGTCGTGGGTGAAGGGCCTGACTGTGCACAGCCACTGTGATTGTTTTGGTCATGGTGGATACATGGCAAGGAAATATGGATTGTTTTGGTCATGGTGGATACATGGAAAGGAAAAATATTAAACATCAGTTCATTAAAATGGACATGTTATGGTACTTTAATGTAAAGTCACACACCTGTGTAACTGTCCTGTTTTGAATGGTCGTTTTCTGTGCCTTTACCTTTAAATGGTAATGAGCCACTGCAGGCTCCGCCCACTTTTTTTCATAGAACGAAGACATGGCAACAGTTGAACTGGCTGCCGAGATTGTGAATTCTTGTCAGGTTCTGTCAGCTGTGCAGAGTCTTATCAACATCTACGTTAATTAACATTCTTAATTCATTCGGGAGTGGGCGGGGTCTCAGCCAGGACAGTTATCCTGTTCATCACACGGCCATATATAAAGACAAACAGGTTTTCACACTCACATTCACATCTATGGTAATCTTGCAGTGAGCAACGTATTCCCTCAATCAATTATTATTTAAAATTAATTAGAAAAAAAAACAGTCCAGCTGAACGTGTCATCATGCAGTTAAACCTGCTATCGGTACATGTTTTACTAGTAAACTGACTAGTGACTGATGGGACAGATCTGTTCAAGACGTTTGATCTGTTTATTTTAACATTACAACTGGTGCTGAATGTTTTTAATCTAAGGATGTTATCGTCTAATCACGTCCCACTTTTTTATAAAGTCTATTTTTATTCTAGTGACAACAACAACTTCAGTGTTCTCTGAGGTCAGGTGAATGAAACTGAAAGAAACCCACTGGTTAACAGACGTGAGACAAATTACCTACCCTGCTTTTAAAGTTTATCGCCATCTCGTTAATGTTGGTATTATTTTTACTCCAGTATGTGACGAGACACGTCTTTTCCCCTGAGCACAAAGTCAGAGCAGAGACACAGTTACACACTGGCTGATGAACCAACGGCAGAGAAGTGTGAGTGAGTGTCTTTATCTTTGTGCAGCTCTGGGGCAAATCTTTGAACTCCCTCTCTCTCTCCCTCTCTCCCTTTCTCTCTCCTCGTGTCACTCCCCACTCCTTCACTTTAATATTTCCGATCGCACAAAGGATTTCTCGTGACTGCACTCCATCCGTAAAATCTGTATTTAGCCTCGTCGAACATGAATACCTCATCGTTGCTCAATTCACTGGTAACATGGAATAGTTGTATAATTACATGAAATAATGCAGATCCATGCGGCAGCATGTTTTAACAGGGCGGAAAGTGGAGCCGGGTGCAGCCGCGGTGCGAGAAAGCCCGCCGCTGCTCCTCTTCGCCTCAGGAATATTTCTGTGCATTTTTCTCGTCTTTTCTCTCACATGATTATAAGTTTTCTTTTTGGTAAACATGGAGGGCATGAACCGACACGCACGCCTGCTGCTGTCAATGAGCTCCACGAGCAGCAACACACCGCGTGGAGGCATTTAGGGGAAAGCGTGAGGCAGAGGCCCCCCCGCCCTGGGTGAGGAATAATGATAATGATAAAAAAAAATTTGAAATCATTCAAGTGCACCAGGTCTACACCAGTGAGAGGGAGACTTGTTTGAAATGTTCCTGGCACCAGCTGCTGCTGGAGCTGGGCCAGCTGCTCTCCTCCCGGGATCGTAATGACGCCTCACAGTGGCTGATAATCTCACTCCCTGTTTCAACACCATTATCTGCCCCCAGTTTGACTGCACCTTCACTCAGTAGTAAAGAGAAACTCTGTGCTACAATGTCCTGGACAACCATTGGATTCGATTAACTGGATTAAAAGGCGCCAAAAAACAATCATTTTATCCAGTGGTCAGACAAAGGGCTCTGAATCCACTCTGTTACTTGTTAATGTGGTATTACATTTTTCTTTTCCCTGTAGAGGAGTGGCCTCTGATGGATGAAGAAGAGTTCCAGCAGGTCCGATGGCGGCGATCCCTCGACGACCCAAACTCCCTCAGGTCCTCAAGACGGAATCGAAAGAAGACCAAGAGCAGCCGAGACTGCCACCTGGAGAGGAAGGAGATGAGAGTACGAGATCTGGGCCTCGGCTATGACTCGGACGAGATAGTACTCTTCAAGTACTGTGTTGGAACGTGTCACAGCTCCCGCAGGAACTATGACCTGGCCCTGAAGAGCCTGATGGATAAAGGGAGCATTTCCAGCAAGAAGGTCACCGGCACCCCCTGCTGCCGGCCGACTCGCTACGAGACTGTGTCCTTCATGGACGCGCAGACTTCCTGGCAGACCATTAAGTGGCTGTCGGCAGCCAACTGCAGTTGTGTGGGCTGAACGCTCTGATTGGTGTTCATCTAAACACAGATAAATCTCTCTGTATGATGGAAGGCTCCACATCTTCTGAAGTCGGAGCCGTGGAGCCAGGGTGGGATCCACAGGGCCGCGTGCAGGGTTTGACAGTGGTTCACCGAGGTTCAGGAACCTTCAGACCCAGCCTGGTGGCAGGTTTTCTGGACGTGTTCCTCCAGCCTGAGGAACCGGAAGGTTTGTCTGAATTTCTACCAGCAATAAGCAATAAGGACGAGAGACCGACTCTACCACGGTTCAGAGTGTATCATGTTTTTGTGTCCTTCACTGAGCCTGATGAAGGTCAGGTGATGTAAACACTGCACTCACAGCCATGTTTGAGCAGCAGCAGCTCAGACTAAGTGGTTCCATGTCTTAGTACTCAGTACAGCACAGCTCAACTTCTTAACTGTTCAAATAGTGTGTTCTTAGATGCAAAGGTTCCCAAACTTTTACTGCACTTTTACTGCAGAGTGCTCTCACTAACTATAAGCTACTGCGTCGTTTTGCTGTTAGCAAGCAAGCCAGTCCTCTAAGAATAGGGTAAAGTCAAATCAGATCTATTTGTTTTGCACAAAGTTTAATATGAAATTAAAGGGAGGGAAAATTGGAGCAATGTATATTAATATATTGATCTTGCTATAATCAGGATAAGGTTGAGCAGAATATTTTCTTTCAAATATTTTTTGTATAAAGATTGTCAGATTTCAGTGTTATTTAATAGATTTCCATAAAGAAAATACTGATAAAATAATACTAATGAACACACTGATGTTTTACACTTATTATTTACTATTATTGTATTTTACACAATATTAATAATAATGTGACACATCCCTAATTCCTTTTTTAGTTTCTCGTAGTATCTGTTCTAATATTAATCCATAATCTACTACTAGTCCAACCCACAAGTGTCCAAATGAGATGACGATGATGACCAGAGGGGGCAGCCTTCTGTGTTCACTGTGCTGTAGTGAGATAAACGGGTCGACGTCCAGAGACGGTTCTCTAAGCTGCCATCACTTATTGACGAGGCCGCTCCTGTTAACGAGTCGGCAGCCGGAGCTGAAACATCACCTCCGTCTGTTCAGTTGCTTCAGTTTCCAACAGAGCTACAGCTAATTAAAGTGATCACTAATTCATTCCTTCAACACAATTTGTTGGTACAAATAATTTACTGAAGGCTGCAGCAGGACTTAACTCCTTCGCTGCTGGAAGTAAATCTACAATGATAATGTATAAATAAATAATAAATATCAAATACATCCTCTGGAATACATTTTTAATAAAACTGAGAATTTTAGAGTTAAGTAAAATTTGTTTTTAAAAAAAACACAGGTATTGTACGTTCATCATGTAGCTTTGCTAAAGTAATCCTATTCATCTTTGCTTTTGTTCTCCTAAAGGCGGTCAGGATCCGTGTCTACTTCTTTACTGCCCTCTTATGGCCATTTAAGAGGGCAGAGCCTGTCTGTATCCAGAAATTTTAATTATTTTTTTCTATTGTAACAATTGTTGTTATAGTCAAATCAGTTTCCTAAAGTACCAGGATCTTTAACTCAAATTATGCTAATTTTATTTTCCTAGCAAATTGGCCCGCACCCCAGCTTTCACAGGGCAATCCAGCAGAGGGCACTGTGAGCATAGCTAAACCTTAGCTTAGTTTTGGCCTGTTGCTAAAACAAGACAGTGACGCTAGTTTATTACTTTGCTGCTAGCAATATAGTCAAACAGTCTTTCAGTTCATCTTTTCTAATTTTAACGAACCCTAAATCTGTGTTTTTACCTGATTTGTTGGCGCAGGAACGACTGACGTTCATGTTCAGTTGAATTACTGTCGTCATTTAAACCCCAGTCTCGCTGCTTAAGACACTCATTGCTAACCACTTACCTCTCCCCATGGTACGGAGCTGGTTTTAGCACAGCTCGTTTACAACCCTGTCAACAGTCTATAGTAGAATACCATTACAGATATAGTCATGAGCCAAACAACACCCTGAGTGACAGCCTGTCACCACGGGGACTATTTTCAGATCAGCTGCGACATGATACCACTCCGTCGACCTGTACTTGAAACAACACAAGTGTGTAAACGCAGTTAAAATGTCACTGTTGTGGAGCGGCCAACACATCAACTGACAACTGGACGTGAGGTTCCAAGACAGGTTTGCGTTCATGTAGCATCCTGGGATATTTTTGGGTCCAGAAATGACAAATAATAATATAATGGAGCAGTCAACTCTGATTGTCTGCAGTGTTTTTCTGTAGTAACATGGCGATAAATTTGTCCAATGTGACTAAAGACATTGAAATGTCTGTTTTCATTGGAAAACACAGAATTAACAGATTAACATTGCTCATAGATGGAATTAGTGATCAACCACTAGGGGGCGACTCCACTAGATGCTAAAGTACATTTTACTCTTTACACAATTAAAATTACACTACAGAATTACTTGCAGTATATATTTTTAGGACATTTTCAGCAAAACAATTGAATTCATTTTGACCCAAGTTACTAAAATGTACTCGTACTAATTGATCAAAATCTGTACAGCTGTACTGTATGGAGTCACACACCTGAATCCATTCACCCTCACCTGGTTTCTGCATCAGGACACAGCACTGTGTCCCCGGCCAGGTGGTGGGATAAACTGGACTTTCTTATATTGTCCATATGTTGGTGAGCCGACATAAATTCCAGCCTTTTCTTGTGTTCAGTTCTGACTGTAACTGTGGACTAAAAATATCATCTGCTCATTTTTGCCTCTTGGCAGAGTGTGTGTCTGACATCCAGGTTTTCAGTGCATTACGTTCAGATATTAAAGTCGCTGTTTAGGTTGTTTTTTTTTATTGATTCTGCTTCACAGCGCTCAGCAGGCTGAACAGCTTCCAGCTTCACACCAAGTTGTGGAAGGTTATCTGAAGAATGTTCACAGCCAGGCCCACACATGAGCTCACATTTGCTTTCAATTACACCGCCGTGTGTTTTATGACAGCAGAAAATAGAGTCTGGAAACCAAATAGAGACCTTAGGAACCAGTATCTGACACAGTCATCACACATGCATGCACTGCAGCTCAATGGTGCTAATTACATAAGAGCGACCGTCTCTGATCAAGGACACGCATGTTTGGATTTTACTCATAGAATTTCAGTGGCATGTTTGGATTTTACTCATAGAATTTCAACAAACTAAAAATTTAAACAAACCTCTGAGGGCTCGATCCTTCACCTTTGACCTTTGTTTATTTGGATTTGTCAACAGAGACAATGTTCTTCCTATTTTTGTCTGTTAGATGATGCAGAGAAGAATAATTTCTACCGTAAACTGTTGTTTGAAACAGCTTCTGTTTAACAATCACATCATTTTAAAAACATTTTTAACGTCTTAACATTTAAAATAATGTCATTTAAAGAAGTGCTGTCCAAACTTACTACACGTTGATTCATATTTCTATGCCTTGGTGTTGAATTTCCCAGTGTTATGATGTAACAGCTGCTGGTTTGGTGACACACAGACATTTATATTATATTCAGTGGTAAGATCTACATTAAAAACAACAAGTGAAATAGTATTGTACAACAACAAAAAACCAAAAAGACTTTTTTCTGGTGTTTGTGTATGTGTTGCTCATCGAGGGACTAATGAACTTGCTTGCCAACAGCAACGTCCCACAGATCTCAACATAGTGTCAAAGGTCCATATTCTCTTGGTCACATGGTTATTCAGGAAGTCAAAAGGATTAGTGAGTAGAAACTCAGTAGAATGTAGTAATTGTGTACACACACAGGATAACAAAAGGGTATTCGTATTTACATTACAACTTAATGGTTTTCCTAAAAAATATATTTGTATTTAGGTCTAAAGACTAACTGATCTTAATGTAAAGATGCAGAAAAGTTCTAAGACAAGTTTGTTTTCTTATGAATCTCGTTCTCTCCATGTCCTCCAGGTCAGGCTGTGCTCTTCTTGTTTTCAAGTTTGTGTTGTTGGTTTTTATTTGTTTTGTTTTGTTTTGTTTTTTTGTGGAGAAAATGTCAAGTTTGGTTAAAAACAAAGCTCTTGTGTCAAAATACATTTGAGTCGTTAACATCTGACACATGCAGAAATGGCTGTCTTAGAACTTTTTGACTCCAAAGAGCAGTACTGTATATACAGTAAGTTATTCATCCATGTAGTAATACAGTATATCAGCATGAATCAGTCCTCTCCCCTGCCTCCCCCTCTATAGCTCTCTCTCTTCAGAGGTTTCCCTTCAGCGTTGCAGACAAAACTGAACTGTTTCTGTTCGATGCTATGCATCGTGCTGCCTTACTGTGTATATAAGAGTATTTATTATTTTTAAATTATTTTTTATTTATTTTGTATGTGCATTCAACCTGATGTTAGGATGTTGTTTTTTTTTATCTTAATGAAGTAGCCATGACACACATGTACAGTCTACACACACTCACACACACACGCATGCATATCTGTGAAGGATGATGGCTGCAGACGGTACTCTGTGTTCACACCACGACCCACTGTGTTCAGTATTAACCTGTGAACCATGGTCAGGTTTACAGACGACCACATCAAACAAAAACCTCAACCAAACTAACACACACACACACACAGTCCTCATGTCTGTCACAGTACTGTATTAGCCCCAATATATTCAGGCTGTTTTGACAGTGTAAACTTATCTGCCACATTACCACTGTTTTTTGTACATTATTAGTAATAAAATGTTTTCACATTCCACTGTAGCATTTGATTTTTACTTTTTTTTTTTTTTTTTACCGGGTTTATGTTTTTTGTGCTAATTGCTGTTTCCACATCAGGCTTATTTAACGCTTCTGTTAAAACTGTATTGTGACGAAATGACCAAGAGATGGCAGTAGTGCTATCGATCAGGAGCGTTGACCATGACCTCGTATTTTCTTCAGGTCTCATTCTTACGTTACTGCCCTCTTCTGGTTGTCCTCCAGGCATGCTTTCGTGTGATGGGAGTTGTGGCCTTTTGGAGAGAACCGATTCTTAGCCGATACTTTCGATTCTCAAACGGCTTCATGGATTTGTTTTTGGTTTTTTGTTTGTTTGTTTTTTGCTTCAATTAATTTATTTACAAAAATAATGTAATGTTTTTAATGAATCACAAATGTACAAAACACAAGTCTTTGTTTGGCATATTTTCCAAATACACTGATTGACAGGTTAGGTCAGGTTATAAGAGGCTTCAAAGTCAAGCCTTTGAACTTATTGACTTAAACCAAGAACAAAACAACAATGCATGGAAACAACTACTTCGCAACCACTGTACAGACAACCAGCTGCCAGAAAACAGTACAAAGACAAAACAGGAAGTAAACATTGAAGTATATCAAAGTATGGCTGCCTCATAAAACTGACCTTAAAAGACCAACACACGATGGAAGACGTTAATGACATTGATAGGTTTTTGAGGACCATTGAT